CTTTCCCTTGCAGCTGAGTACAGAACCCTGTGCCCGGGCGGTGAGGGCTTCCGGCCCAATCCCATCACCGTCATTCTGGAAGGTGAGTTCCTGGTAGACCATCCACTGATTGACCTTCCTCTCATTCCCCCCTCAGCGAGGAATAGAGTTGGGCAGCTTTGGGGTTGGGGGCAGATTCGCTCAGCCATCTCCTCTTCCACCTGTTGGTTTATTGATTCATCCTTCTATCCAACCCCCATCCACCCATCGATCCATTCATCTCTCATCTACCCACCCATACATCCACTCCCTATGTTTATCCATTCTTCCTTCCTTCTTTCCTTCCATCCATTCATCCATCCATCCATCCATCCATATATATAAGTACGTTCATCCATCTACTCACCTACCCACCCACCCATCCATCCAGTCATTTATCTTTTCGTCCATTTACCCATTTGCTTATTCACCCATCTAGCACTTTTCATATCCACCCATGTACCCATCCACACATCCATCCTCCCATATCCATTCATCCATCCATCCATCATTCCATCCATTCATCCTTTATTCCATCCATCCATCATTCCATCCATCCACCCACCCATCCATCCATCATTCCATCCATCCACCCACCCATCCACCCATCATTCCATCCATCCACCCACCCATCCATCCATCATTCCATCCATCCACCCATCCATTCATCCATCCATCCATCCATCCATCCATCCATCCATGGGGGGTAATGAGATTGGAGAATTCCATCAAGACGGAACTTTGTGATGGATGGATAGATGAAAGAATGTTCTATCCAATGAAGGGAAAGGATGAATTCAGGGTGACATTGACCCAGGAGAGTCTGGGTGCAGCCTCCAAATATCTAACAGCTCTTGGGTATTCTTTTATTTAAAATTAATTTATTTTATTTTTGGCTGCGTTGGGTCTTCACTGCGTTGGGTCTTCATTTGGTCTACGTGGGCTTTCTCTAGTTGCGGCGAGCAGGGGCTACTCTTCACTGCGGTGTGCTTGCTTCTCACTGTGGTGGCTTCTCTTGTTGTGGAGCACGGGCTTGCAGCGCGTGGGCTTCAGTTGTGGCTCGTGTGCTCTAGAGCACAGGCTCAGTAGTTGTGCGTGGGCTTAGTTGCTTCATGGCATGTGGGATCTTCCCGGCCCAGGGATCGAACCCATGTACCCTGCATTGGCAGGCGGATTCTTAACCACTGCACCACCAGGGAAGTCCCTGAATATTCTTAAAGAAGCAGGACTGACTCTCCAGGACCCTGGAGAGCCCAGGGCAAGGCATGGATGTCCCCCAAGTCCTCTGCTTGGATTTACCTTCCAATCACAGCTTCCTCACTTCCTGACAGACATTGACGAATGCCAGGAGCTGCCAAGGCTGTGCCAGGGGGGCAACTGTGTCAACACCTTCGGCAGCTTCCAGTGCAAGTGTCCACCTGGCTACCACCTCAATGAGGACACCCGCATCTGTGAGGGTGAGCTTGAACCCACCCCATCCTCCTTGCCTTCCTGCTCAGCCTCACCTCCTTTTCCGGTACTGGGGCCTCACATGCCCCTCGGAGTCTGCTCACCTGCTTCGTTGCCTGGGGCCCATTGGAAGGGTTGGGAAGGTTTCCTCGGAATGTCCCAATCTACCCTCTGCTCCTCTGCCCCCTCCCTGTCTCCCCATTGCCTGACCTCCAGCCTCCTTCCCACTCAGAAATGACCTGACTTGATCTCAGCGACCATGCCCTTCTTCCCTTTGATTAAAAGCTGAACAAGGCCCAGAGCTAAGAGGGGGAAGGGAAAGACACCAAAGGAACAGCCGTACCTTTCCTTTTCACTTGTCTCCTTACTGTCCTCTTCTGCATGTTAGTAACAATCAACAGTTAACTGGTGTGTCTGTGATTGCATGTCACCACGGTGCTGAGCATCTGCATTTGTCATTCGTTCATTCACCAAAACAGTCTCATGAGAAAGATGTTCCTATTATGACCCCATTTTTCAGATGCAGAAACTAAGGCTCAAGGGGGTTAAGTCACTTGAGAGGTACCAGCTAGTAAGTGATTAAAACTGGCTTTGAGCCCAGCCATTCTTATCCTTGAGTTTGAGCTCTTTTGATGCAATATATGAAATTCCTTCATTCATTCGTCCATCCATCCATCCATCTGTCCACCAATCCATTCTTTTTCTTCTTTTCAACAGTATTAACTGAGCACCTGCATGCAACCAGACACTGACATCAGCATACGAGGACAGTAGATCTTTCACTCTGATCAGCACTCTTTAGAAACTCAAGGAAATGGTGAAAGAAGGGAGAGATCTAAGATTGAAAGCCCAATTTCCTTTCTACGTGGAGGTGGGAGCTGTCAAACCAGAGTCAGAACCCAAAATGCTTGAAAATATCTCATCCCTCCCTGCCTCCCCTATTCCGTAGACTCTCAAGTGAAAAAGGGAAAAATCCTGTCATCAGATATGGCCCTGTGTTGCATTTCTTGACTGTCACAGGGCAGGGAGACTTCAACCTGAATGTTAACCTTGGCTGTGGAGCCTCGCAGGGCCAGTTTGTGCCCTTGAGGGCTGCAGGCTTGCAGCATTTCCCAGCTTTCAGACTCAAGGGCCCTGTACTCCGAAGGGTGCCATTCCCCCACCCCTCCCACCCCCGCTTAGTTTAATGCTCTGCTGTCACCATCTTGAAATTCTTCATACACTTTGCACTGAACAAGTTCTGTAGCCAGTCCTTGTCAAACATTTTGTCTAACTCCCAAAATCACTAAGTCATATGGTAATTCTGTTTGACTTTTTGAGGAACTGCCAAACTGTTCTCCACAGCAGCTGCACCATTTTGCATTTTCACCAGCAAAGTAAGAGGGTTCTAGTTTCTCCACATCGTTATCAGCACTTGTTATTTTCCATTGTTTAAAATATTATCCTAGTGGGTGTGAAATGGTATCTCATTGTGGTTTTGATTTGTATTTTCCTAATGACTAATGAGGTTGAGTACCTTTGGAGAAATGTCTATTTAGGTCTTTTGCTCATTTTAAAATTGGATTGTTTGCCTTTCTGTTGTTGAGTTGTGAGAGTCCTTTATATATACTGGATATAAGACTCCCATCGGTTATGTGATTTGCAAAGAGTTTCTCCAATTCTGTGAGTTGTCTTTTCACTTTCTCGATAGTGTCTGCTGATGCACAACAGGTTTAAATTTTGATGAAATCCAATTTATCTGTTTTATTTTTCCTTTTGTGGTTTGTGCTTTTGTTGTTATATCTAAGGATCCATTGCTAAACACAAGGTCATTAAGATTTACCCCTGTGTTTTCTTCCAAGAGTTTTATGGTTTTAGATCTTCTATTTTGAGTTAAGTTTTGTATATGGTGTGAGGTAGGGATCCAACTTCATTCTTTTGCCTGTTGGTATCTAATTGTCCCAGCACCATTTGCTGAAGAGACTTTTCTTTCTGCACTTTGTTGAAAATCAATTGACTGTAGATGTCTTGGTTTGTTTCTGGTCTCTAAATTCTATTCCACTGATTTATAGTTCTATCCTCATGCCAGTACCACTCTGTTTTGATTACTGTAGCATTGTAAGTAGGTTTTGAAATGGGGAAGTGTGACTCCTCCAACTCTTTTTTCTTTTCTCAAGATTGTTTTGGCTGTTTGGGGTCCCTTACAATTTCATATGAATGTTAGGATCAGCTTTTCCATTTCTGCCAAAAAAAGAGAAGTCACTGGGATTTTGATGGGAATTACATTGAATCTATAGATCACTTTAGGGAGTATTGAGATTTTAACAATAATGAGTCTTCATCCATGTGCACAGGATGTCTTTCCATTTATTTAGGTCTTCTCTAGTTTTTTTTCAGAAATGTTTTATAGTTTTCTGTGTACAAGTCTTTCACCTCTTGGGTTGAATTTATTCTTAAGTATTTAATCTTTTGGATTCTGTTATAATTGGAATTATTTTCTTAATTTCCTTTTCAATTGCTTTTTGGTAGTTTGTAGAAATACAACTGAAATTTCTATGTCAGTGTGTTGATCTTGCATTCTACATTGTGCCCGCTTCATTTATTAGCTCTAATAGTTTTCATTCTGTGGATTCTCTAGGATATTTTATATATCAGATCCCCTGGTTTTGTAAGTTTTTGACTGGATTCCTGAGTTCCTCAAACGTTAATTTTGTCAGTTTTTGCTCAGCTCAATAGTTGTTTTTGTGGAGGAATAGAGCTCTGACATTCCCTATTCTGCCATTTTTGGAAATGTCACTCCTAGCTTGCTAATATTCCACCACCTGTTTTTGTATAGCCCACTAAGAATGCTTTTCACATTTTTAGGTTATTGGAAAAAATCAGAAGGAGAATAATACTTTGTGCTGCATGAAAATGACATGAAATTCACATTTCAGTGACCATAAATCAAGTTTTATTGGGGCACAGCATGCTAGTTTGTTTACCCATTGTCTATGGCTGGCTGCCTTCATGCTACCATGGCAAAGTGAATAGCTCATCAGAGACCATTGTTTGGCTCACAACACTGAAAAAAAAATTTACTGCCAGCCCTTTACAGAAAATGTGTGCTGCTTCTGGACTAAGGGATCAATCAGATTGAGAATCAACTTTTTTCTTTCAAGAATATTTTATTCATAGGGCTCTTGCTTCCTATTGCATCACACTGGGAAGCACATGATTGCCCCACTCTTGGTGATAATATCATTAATTCATGAGCTCAGGTCATATTTTTTCTTAATAGAAGTGGGATCATAGTAAACTTTTTCCCCCACCTAACACTGTGCCGTATCTTTACACATCACTAAGATGTCTGTGCATTTTAACCTAATCTTGAAACTAAACTCAACCACATAGTGAAGTGGCTCTAGCAGACCTGGGGTGGGGAGTTATCCAGACAATTCCTGGATGCAGACAATTCCTCCCTCCCCCTGCAGATATCGATGAATGCTCTGCACACTCGGGCATCTGTGGCCCTGGTACCTGCTACAACACTCTGGGCAACTACACTTGTGTCTGCCCAGCGGAATACCTGCAAGTCAACGGTGGTAACAACTGCATGGGTACGAAGTGTGATGATGGGGGAGCCCAGCAGTTGTGGGAAAAGCACTCGGGTGTGGGAGGGGCTTCTGGGAGTCTCCAAGCCTTGGAAGAGTGTGGAGAGGCATGTTTGTGGGAGGAGAGAGGGAGGGAGAGTGTATTTGAGATGCTGGTATGCAGCAGTGAACAAGGCTGCAGGGCTCAGGGACCCAGGGCTGCCATGTATGGTTGTCCAGGTTGTGCACTGCCCGAGAAAGGCTAAATGTGAAGGGCACCCTCATGTGTGTTGGGGAGAAGTCAAGCCAGTAATTTCCAAATGGATTTGTGGATGAGTTCCTATCTCTCTGGCTTTCTTCCTCTGGTGTCTCTTGCCTGCATCCTTCACCCCAACCCAACTGCAGAC